TGTTGAACAGACTGACATTCCTGTTGTCATATCAGCTGAAATGACCCGAAGGAACCGGGGGGAAGTAGGAGGATAGATTTCTGGAGTCCCTTAAGGGGCTGTACTGAGATTTGTGGATAATACAACACACTGTACTCTCATCATGGTTCACTGTGCTCCCTCAGGAGGGATTCGTGGAGGGGAGGCTTGTCTTTTCTCCTCTTGCTTCTTCACCGGAGACGCTGGGGGGTCCGATGCACAGGATGGGTTGAGCTGGAGATTTCAGGCTGATCCGACGGAAGAGGGCCATCACAGGGACGAGCCATGCTTCACTAGTGCAAAATTCATGCTCAGCACGGGGAGGAAATTCGTGCAGGGGAAGCCCCTCCAGGCCAGTAGCGGGGGCAGAAGCACCAGGGAAAAAGTGGCAGGAGCCTTGGTGAAGCCCAAGGGGGTAGCATCCTCATTCGGGAGTGTGGCACCAAAGGGATGTCAATAGTCACTCGTGTGTATTGCGCAACCAGGGCCTGCGAGGCTCCCTGCGCTTTACCTGCATGACCTCACCGAATCCTCCCAACCACCCAGTTAGGTAAGAGGCACTGCTATTGCCCCATGTTAGAGAAAATCCCATGGAGGCTCACGCAAGTTAAGAGACGTGACTAAGGACACACAATAAGTGGAGGGAGAAACAGCCTAAGAGCTACCGAGGACATTCCGAAAACGAAGAGTTCTCTCTCCTGTTTAGTATCAGTAAGGAGGAGACTCAGTGAATAGGAGAGAGGAAAGAGGTACATGTGGGAGGTCCTCTCTTGGGGACGAGGGCCAAAGGCTCAGGGGGGAAGCCACTCTGATGACAGGAGGCCTCTTTACAAGGACAGGAATAGGGACACGGAAGGCCCGGCTCAAAGCCCGGACCAGTAATGATAGCAACCACTACATACTGAGCACTTCGTAGCTTCCAGGTACTGTGTGAAGGGCTGTTCCTACTCTGTAACCATTTAAGCCTCCCACAACCCAAAGGCAGAAGTTCCCCATTGTATGGATGAGGAAACTAAGCTCAGAGGGGCCAGGGCACTTGCCGGGGGCAACCCAGGAGAAAGCAGCAGGCCTGTCTATTGCCAGAACCTGACCTTGCACAGTCGCCTGTAACGTCTCTAGAACACTTGCCAAGCACGGGCCTGAGCGCTGAGAGACCTACATTCCAGTCAGAACCGTGCGCCTGTAGGCCGCATCCTTCCCCTCCAGGGGCCACCATTTCCTCCCATGTAAAGGGGGGTGGGTGTCTGCAGGAGAGGACTGCAAACATGGCTTCCAGCTCCAAAATTCCATCAACCGTGGGACCAGAAATAAGAGACAGTGTTCTTGCCCTTTGGGGAATTTACGGGCTTCGTGGGGGAGATGAGGTGTATAAACAGAACATGAAAACAAATACAAAGTGGTGCATCACTAAGGACTAAATGCCACAGCAGGGAGGGGAGGGGCCTGACGTGCACAGTAAAGGTGGTGCTCCTGGCGCTTTATGTTCTCCTTGTTTTTCCTTATCTGTAGAATACCACCATTTTTTTTTAAGTTTTGTTTTTTAATTTATTTTTTACTTTTTTTTTTTTTCTTTTTGGCTGCGCTGTGTGGCTTGCGGGGGTCTTAGTTCCCTGACCAGGAATTGAACCCGTGCCCCCTGCAGTGGAAGCGCTGAGTCCTAACCACTGGACCGCCAGGGAAGTCCCCAGAATACCACCATTTTAATCACATGTGTTGCTTCTCTCCCCTGGCAATAATTTACTGCAAAGATGAAAGAATTTTACAGTGGCTACCCGCATACCCGCCACTTAGATTCCACCCCTAGCACATGACTACGCTTGCTTATCGCGCTTCCACTCATCACACACCTAGCCATCTAGCCTCGTACCGATACATTTTGGACGTATTTCCTAGTAAATCGCAGACCTTTGTTTCATGCATTTCAAGAAGCAGAAGGGTTCATTCCTACCACACATTTCCTGAAGGTCTACTCTGTGCTGGACGTCTTTTCACCTGGACTGGAGGAGTCCCTTCCGAGAAGGGAATTCTTCTTTCAGAAAGTAAAAGCTTTCATTGATTTTATTGTATGCCCATGTTCTTGCTTGGCTGGGGGTCCTGGAAGTGCCAAAGAGATATAGGATAATGAGTATGTGCTGGAGGTCAATCCTGGGAGGCTTCTGGAAGAGAAGAGCTGAGCCAGGACTTAAAGGTGAAAGCGGCATGGCTCAGTCCTGCCTTGAGGCCTGGTGGGCTGCTTCCTCTGCTAAGAGCGTCCTCCCTGCCTCTATGCCTCTGTGTGCCCCACCTCCCCGAACCTCACCCAACCTGAACCTAGGGACGCCTCTGTTACTCTCTCATGGCATGCTGATACCGGTCTTCACAGTGCTGTGACAAGCTGTAATTATATACTTACCTGTTTCATGTCCATTCTCCCCCTAGACTAAGAGGTTCCAGAGGAGGGGTCGAGGCTGGGTACACTTGTCTGGCAACTAGTAGAGGGGAGCCTATTGGCCTGAGCGGACTTGGGAAAGGCCTTGGAATGAGGGTGAGCAAGGACCTGTCACCTGGGCCAGACAGGGAGAGCCAGGCGAGGGCATGAGAGAGAGAGGGCAGTTTCTGCAGTTGTGCAAGAACAGGGAGAGGAGTCTGGGCGGGACCCTCACAGCCATCTTTTATTGGGTGTTCACTCTGGGCTAAGCACTTACAGACATGATTCATTCACCCTCACGACCTCCCTCGAGGTAGGTCCCACGTTTACCCCCTTAGACATGGTGAAGCCGAGGCTCGGAGAAGGGAGAGAGTTGAGGGAGGCCACGCAGCTAGTAAGCACTGATGGCCAGCTCCTCGTCCAGAGCAACTACCTGCTGGGGACCTCTGCTGGAGGGGCGGCAGGCTTCCCCCGTGACCCTGGGGTGGGGGAGGGGCTACTTCAAAATAAGTCCCCTTTACCAAGTTCAATCTGACCCCTTTACCTGGGTCAGATTCTGACAGCTCCATTTTTTTTTTTAACCATTTTAATTAATTAATTTATTTATTTTTGCCTGTGTTGGGTCTTTGTTGCTGTGCACGGGCTTTCTCTAGTTGCGGCGAGCAGTGGCTACTCTTCGCTGCGGTGTGCGGGCTTCTCATTGCGGTGGCTTCTCTTGTTGCGGAGCACGGGCTCCAGGCGCGTGGGCTTCAGTAGTTGTGGCACGTGGGCTCAGTAGTTGTGGCTTGCGGGCTCTAGAGCGCAGGCTCAGTAGTTGTGGCGCACGGGCTTAGTTGCTCCACGGCGTGTGGGATCTTCCTGGACCAGGGCTCAAACCCACGTGCCCTGCAATGGCAGGCGGATTCTTAACCACTGCACCACCGGGGAAGCCCTGACAGCTCCATTTTACCATGATCTTGTATATGATTTTGTATGTTTGTTTAACAGCTCTAGGCCTCAGTTACCTTATCTGTAACATGGGAATAATATTTATCTCTCGAGGTTATAGTGAGGACTACATGAGATCATGCATGTGAAAGCACCTAGTCTTCTGTTTGGTTCACAACAGGTATTTAATAAATATGCCTTAAGACTGATTTGAGGTGACCCCTCAGGTCCAGGGATGTCTGAGGGTAGTTTTTCCCAGAAGGTAGAACATGGGACTGCTGGTGGCATGGGAGAATTTAGGTGGTTCGTGAATATGGCTTTGAATAAGTCTGAATCACACAGTGAGAAATTTACTCTTTTCTTAATTCTCTTTGAAGCTTTCTGACTAGGTAAAGAGGAAGACTCCATTTCTGTGCTGGTGTGCCTGGAACACCTCTCTCATACTTGCTAATCTCCCTTTTTAACAAAGGGTACAGGAGCTGCCGCCAGCTATAATGTAATACAATTGTTTGCTTCTCACTTTGTTTTTCTGGTTCTTTCTATATATGGGCCAGTGAGCCTGGCTTTCCACTTAAGAGTGGTGATATAAAGTATTCTCTTAAAATATACTTAAGAAAGTAAGCTGGCTTAAAGAAAAATATTAGTAACAGAGAAGGGAGAGGGCAGCTCTACACCATGGTGAGGGTGTCCCGCGAAGGAAGTGTGGGAAGGAGTCCTGGAGTCAGTGAGCACACACACCACCTCCTGCCCTGTGGTCCTGCCCCGCGGGAATGGGAAGCAGCAGGCTCAGGGGGCTGGGATGTCCATCACCAACCCCGGAGGCCCCAGATTTCCTCCTGCTCTCTGCCCCTTACATGGCCCCGGAGCAAAATCCAAACTAATTCTGTCCAGGGAAGAATGAGGGCTTCGAAAAGCAGGGGAAGGTCTGAGACACAGAGATGACAGAATACGCTGGAAGCCAGGCTCAGGAATGAGACAGGCTGGGCTTAGCTTTGCCTCTACCGCATACTCACCATGTCCCCTCTGAGCCCCAAGTTCTCTGTCCCTAAATGTGGTGTGTGCTTCTCCACTCCCAGGAACCCCAGGTCCTCCCACTTGGCACTGCCTTGGGTCACTGGGACTCATCGCCGAGTCATCCCATGGACAGGCAACAGGCTCTGGAGTCAGGGAGGCCACGGGCCCCGGGGTGGGGGATGCTCTCGCCCGTGGGGCTGAGGAAGCGGCCCATGCTCTTGGAAACACTGGGAGTGAGGCTGGCAGACAGGCTGAGAATAAGACCGATTCTCCCAGGGCTGTCTGAGCCTTAAAGTGCCTAGTCCGGTGCTGGGCACATAGAAAGCCCCGGATAAACTGCAGCTACAACGATGATGATGATTTTTATTGTTATTACCCCCACCACTATTATCATCATTAAAGAGTCAGCGATGGGGTAATAAGGAGCTAGGAAGGAGCAGCGGAGGACAGACAGGGATTGTGTTTACATCGTGAGAGGTGATGGGTGTTACAAGTTGGGGTGAAGGTGTGGGGGTGGAGAGAGAGACTGACGGAGAGACGCTGAGAAAGGCGGATAGAAACCGGCCCCTCCTAACTCAGGCAGTGCCAAGTGGGAGGGCCTGGGGTTCCTGGGAGTGGAGAAGCAGCCTCGCTCGCTGAGCAGCGATGAGACCTCGGGAGGCTGCCCGAGTTCTGCATCCTGAGCTGGGCCCAGGGGAGAGGGCCACTGGCTGACCCGGGGCTCCTGCCCCTGTGCTGACCCCTCCTCCCTTGCCAGTGCCACTCTGGCCCCTCTGGGAGGGGCTGGGGGCAGCAGTGGGGTGCGCTGGTGTAGTCCCAGCCCTCGCGGCAGGCCGTGAGCTCACACACGTGACCCCACCAGGCCCGGTAAACAGGATGGGTGCCTGGGTCAGCAGCTCCCTCCCTAGGTCTTCCCCGCCCCCTCATTCCTCGGGGGTGGCCCACCTGCCCAGCTCCCCAGCTCCCCGCCCAGCTTTCTCAGCTCAGAGCAGCCGGGATGCTAACTGAGACGCCCCGATGACCCCTCTCAGGGTCGTAGCCACTTCCTTCCCCGACAGATGCCTGGCGTCCCCACCGAGGGCGGTCTCCCGGGTCCCAGGCTCTCTATGGCTGGAAGGTGTGGAAGTGTGAGGCAGTCACCTTTAGGTGGCAGTATGGGAGGGGAGAGAGATGGGAGAGACAAAGGCCGATGGAAACAGAGAGGAAGGCTGAGGAAGGGCACCTGCAGCGGCAGGTGGCGTCCAGCCATTCTGGCGTCCCCGACCCAGGCTGGCTTACACCTAGGGTGGGTCCTATCCTGCTGCATTCCCTACCCTCGCCCCCCTGATGAGGTCCTGCCTGATTCCTCTCTCCTAAGTCCCCCCTACCCCCCCACCTCTAGGAGACACTACCAGCCTATCACCTCAGATGCAACCTCCTACCCTGCGCCCCAGACTCCTGGGGTTGGGAAATGGGAACACTTTGGCACCGGTCTCATCCCATTTCCCCCTCCCTCCCTGATGCACGGGCTCCCTCTCTGTTTCGACACAGGCTCTCAGGCTCACAATTACAGCTCACCTATGGGTGGCTGGGCCTGAGTCACTGGGGGGAGGGACTCTGGGCTGCCCAGCCCTGCCACCTTCTTCCAAGCTACAGTATAAGGAGTAGCGGCGGGGACAAGGGCTGTGGGAAAACAGGGACATCTGGGAAAGGAGAGAGAAGGCTGCAGACCTAGAGGAAGGGAGAACGAGAAGTCAGAAGGAAGGAGAGGAGGGAGGAGGGCACGCAGACGCGGGGAAAGAGAAAGGGCAAGCGAGTAAACTTGGGTGGGAAGAAGACACTCAGGAGAGAAGGAACGAGGCAGAGATGAAGCTACAGGGGTGTCTGGCCTGCCTCCTGCTGGCCCTGTGCCTGGGCAGTGGGGAGGCTGGCCTACTGCTGAGTGGAGGGGAGAGCTCTGGAGCAGGGGCCATGGAGACCACTGGACACGGGGTGGGAGAGGCCATTGGACAAGAAGTGGGAGAGGCCATCAAGCACGGAGTCGGGGAGGCCACTGGCGGAGGGGATGGAGAGGCAGCGGGTTCTGGAGTCAAGGAGACCATGGGCCCCGGCGTGGGGGATGCTCTCGCCCGTGGGGTTGAGGAAGCGGCCCATGCTCTTGGAAACACTGGGAGTGAGGCTGGCAGACAGGCTGAGAATGTCATTCAGCACGGAGTGGACGCTGCCCACAGCTCCTCGCAGGGGATGCCTGGCGGCAACGGTGCTTTGGTGAGTGGCTGGAAGCCGGGTGTGGAAATGGGAGGCTGCGGGCAGCTGGGTTGAGAGTCCTGGGAAGCAGTTAATAGGAGGAAGGGCTCCCTTACTGGTGGCTGTCTGGGCCAGTTTCCTTCTACGTTAGGCATCCCTCCCCCACCACCCTGAGGTCTCTCTCCACCTGCTTCTCCGTGTGGCTTCTCTATCTGAGTTGCTCTGCCTGTCCTACCCCATCCCAGAGGGAGGTGGCCACACACACTCAGTGCGGCCACGTTGGTCTTGCAGGGAACCAATGGGCAGCCTCCTTGTGGAGGCCATGGCTCCTCTGGCTCTCCAGGCAATCCTGGAGGTCCAGGGATTCCCTGGGACCAGGTGTATTCTGGAGGCTCAGGTGGCAGCTTTGGGACCAACTCTCAGGGAGGCTCCTGGGGCCACGAAGGCTATGGAGGGGCATTCAACCTAGGCACCAACACTCAGGTACATCAGGACATCACCCTGGCCCTGATGCCTGCCACCTCCCTCCCTTCAAGCCCACACTTTTGGCGTTTCACCCGTGTCCTTCCCGATCCCATGCTCAGTCTCACCCTCCCTGCAGGCAGCTGTGGCCCAACCTCCTTATGGCTCAAGGAGAAGCAGTGACAACCCAAATGCAGAGGTAAGAGGAAGAGTCTGTCTGGATGCGTGTGATAGAAAGTGGGAGAGACGAAGAGGAAAGAAAGATGGGCAGGGGAGGGGTTGAGGGAAGAGCAGATCGGAGTGGGGAGAGATAGGTGTGGGGAGGAGGCTTGGAAGAGTGAGATGGGCATGGAAGAGAGATGCGATGGGAAAGAAGGCCAAGCCAGGGAAGCAGGAGAGCCTGGCCTGTGGGGATGGCTTTGACTGAAGTCTCAAACCTCACCCGTCCCCTTCCCTCTGCAATGCACCAACCGCCCACCATCTGGCTCAGGTGGAAGCTCTAGCAACTCTGGGGTAAGAGGACAGGACAACCTGGGGCATTCTGCAGAAGTTCTGCTCCTCTCAGACTGGGCGGGAAATAGTCCTGAGCAAGGGAGGCCGGGGAGGGAGGAAAGCAATCTTGGTGTCCTCATCTTTAGACCTCACTCTGGTCTCTTCCTGACCCTCAGGGAAGCAGCAATGATGGCAGGAACAGCGGTGGCAGCATCAGTGGTGGCAGCAGCGGCGGCAGCAACAGCAGCAGCGGTGGCAGTTCTGAGCTCCACTGGGTAAGTTCTCCTTTGTTGAAGGCAGAGGTGGGGCCCCTGGTGGTCCCTGCTGAGGAAACCCACTCCGAGGTCTTCCCGAAAGCTGCCAGCCCCAGGGTAGATGGCGTCACCGGAGTTGTCATCCTGGGCTCCCTCAGCTTCTGTTCCCCACCTTCCCAGCCTCACCAGGAAGTGTGGCTTAAATGTGCCCTCTAATTTCCAGAAGAGGTGCCCTGCCTACTGTGCTCACTCTAGCCCCTTGTCATCCACTCCCTGATGCCGGGGATGCCCTGTCTCCTGTCTGACCTCTAGTTCTGCAGGCGTGTCCACTTGGCGAATTGGACTAGAGCTGGGGTAGTGGATGGAGCAAGAGAGGTGGGCACAGGGAAACATGACACTTGTTTGGGAAGCTCCCAGGAGGATTGGGGCAGAACCGCACGTGGAAACTTAAGGACATTTACAGAGCTGAGGTGTGGACGCTAACAAATACCGTGTTCCTACGTGAGGGGTGAGAGGGCCAGGAGGGGACCAGTACCTGGCAGCTGGATTGGGGTGGAACTCCCATCAGGGGTCCTGCTGAGAGGGGGCACAGCTGGCTTCCTTGGGGATCTGGGCAAGGCCTCAGGCAAGAGGAGGGTCTCAGGCAAGAAAAAGCCAGGTGTTAATTTACTGCTCCCTGTACTACCTGCTTCCCCTCCCCCCACCTACAACTGACCCTTCGAAAACTCTAGAAATTTTGATCAAGGCGGTTACTCCCAGGTAAGGATTCTAGGGGTCCCTTCCCCTTTCTAGGTTCCAGGAGAGGGTGAGGGGTGAGGAGAGGCAGGAGGAGGGCCGAAGGAGCCCCAGGGTGCCAGGGTCACGGCTCTTATGAAGTCGGTCTCCAGTGGCTTTTCCACCCCTGGCATGAAGTGGAGGTTGGACGGCAGCAGCTCAGAATCCCCCAATTACCCCACATCTCCAAATACACGTGGCCACACCTACCCTTCTCCGTGCCCTGAATAACTTCCCTCTGTGACTGACCGGCTGAAGATGGGACAGTGTGGAGCTTGGGCAGGGCGTTAAAATATCATAGTGCCTATTATGGGATGACTTCCTATTTTTGGGAACGATTTGGGCCCTTCCAAGCCCTTTGGAGACCCCACACGGACTCTCGCTTTCCCTTTTGCTGGGATACAATACCAGCTCCTCCTTGGGTAGCAGGGGTGGAAGTGGTGGGAACAAACCCGAGGTGAGCGTCTGGCGAGGGCGTGTCTGTGCAGATCTGCCCCGAACGGTGGGAAGGAAAACAAGAGGCGTTGAGGGATGGGCGGGGAACAGGCTGACCGCCGCCGGGTCGGCGGACCCGGGCCAGCCACGGAGTTAAAATGCTGCAGTCTGGGGACTGGACTAGGTGTCTTCGTGGGACATGAGAGTTTCTCTTTCTCTCTCCCACCGTGCGATAACCCACGCAGTGAAGTCCACGTGTCCGGGGAATCCGGGGGCAGGTGAGAGGCGAACTTGCAGTGACGGCAGCTCATCACCGCAGCTGTGTGCCCTCCTCAAGGCAACTCCGCTCCGGCCCCCCCTCCTAAGGCTAGCTCTGGTTACAATCTAGAGGGAAGAAACCAAACACATGCTCCTGAAAAGACTAACCAGCTCCGAAGTAATAATTAATTGCAGATCCTTACACGATATACCTCACTTTATACCACAGATGGGGCTGTGAAAAATCGTATGAAAACCAATCCTTCTAGAAACATGATTGTTTCAAACGTCCTATACCCTGCGTGTAAACAGTATTCGGGTGACTTCTTTGAAGGACTTTGGAAACAGTGTTTCGAGAGTGTACATGGAAACAGTGTTTCGAGAGCGTACATGGAGACTGTTTCGAGAGCGTACATTTCCCTCCTAGTTATTCTGGAAATCTGCCTCTCCTTCAGCAACTGCTGTGCTGACAGAGGAAGTGTTGGCTAAGGCTCACAGGAATCACCTAGAGGTCTTGTGAAAATACAGGTTCGCATTCAGCAGGGCTGGGGTGGGGCTGAGATTCTGGTTTCTAACAGGCATCCTGGAGAGGCTGCCAGCCCGTGCCCCGGGGTTGAGTGGGGCCCACGGGGTGAGGAGCACGCCTAACGGGGAGGAGGAGGCGAGGGGTGGTGATGCCACCCTGGAAGGCTCTCGGGAGAGCTCCTTGCATATCAGGGATACTAACCTTTCCTGGGTAGACAGGTTTTAAGGAACCCTCTCCCAGTTCGTAATTCTATTTCTAGTTTTATACTACGAAAGTCTTCAATATATCGCGAGGTGGAAAAACAGACAAAAATGACAGAATCATCAAGGGGATATTTTTTTAAACCATATTTAAGAAGGCAGGGTTGACAAGTGGAAAGGCAGCGAACTTTGATTCAGAAGATGGGGGTTCAAACGCCAGCTGCGTTACCTGTCATCTGTGTGTCATCAGGCAAGTCGATTAACCTCTCTGAGCCCAGGCTCCCTCTTGGGTAAAATGGGGACAGCAAAGCTTAACTTGTTCACCCCCCTCAGTTACTGCAGCGCTTTCTGCATCATAATCACATCAGCGTGGTTCAGAGTCCCAACACTGGAGTCTGACACGGAGACAGATGCTGAGAAAAGCTGTTGGACAGCCCTACGTTTCAGTTTCTCCATCTGTACAGTGGAGGCATCTCCACGTGGGAAAGTGGCGGGTGGAGGCGCAGTGCCCCGCGCACAGTGGGACTACATATTGGCTACTAGCAGTGTTTGGGGGGTTCAGGGCATGGGGGGGGAGCACGAATATGGATATGATTCGAGGGACTGGGTGGGGTTATTCTGCTGAGCAAGTAGCGAGTCAGTCCAGGAAGGCTTTCTGGAGGTGGGGCTCTTAGGTACTGTGTTGAGAAGAGGAGAAGGTGGCTTGACCAGAGGTGGAGAAGGGTGGGCCAGGAGTGGGATGATAGGTGGCAAGTACGACAGGATGTAGAGCCTTGACCATCAGCTCCCTTTTCCCCACCCAGGGGCAAGGGTCTAGCGGGGGAGGGGAAGCTGTCAATAGAACCAACATCTTGGTGAATGCGGACGTCACTCCTCCTTGGGCTGGGACCGTGGTGTCAAGCAACCCCTGCCTCCGCCCGACACCCACATCTCCTGCCCCTGCCTCGTGCTCACCGCGTGGGTCCTTACTCTCATCCCATTTCTCATCCGTCCCTTAGAACTCTCAGCTGTTTCCTGGGCTCTTCGGCTTGGACACTTTCTGGAAGGTGAGTTCGACAAGAGTGCTCTGCTCGCTCTCCTTTGCAAAATCAAACCTCTGTCCCTTGGTCCCACAGGCTGAAGTCTTCTTTCTATAATGACTGTCAGCAGTGGCCCTTGACCTCTCTTGTCCTGGGGCCCTGAGCCAATTACATGATGACCCAATTTGGTCATTCTCCTTCTTTTTCTCTGCAGAATTTAAAATCCAAGCTGGGTTTCATGAACTGGGACACCATCAGCAAGGTAAGGGCTGGAAGGCTGTTCATTCTGATCTTTGTGGGAGAAGGGGTATAGAGAAGAAAGCTAAACCCTTGCTTGGTGAGCCAGGGAGCAATGAGGATGGTCACGAAGACAGCATTCCAGCCAGTGCTTTAAAAAGAAAAGATGAGGGGCTTCCCTGGTGGCGCAGTGGTTGAGAGTCTGCTGGCCTGATGCAGGAAACACGGGTTTGTGCCCTGGTCCGGGAAGATCCCACATGCCGCGGAGCTGCTAGGTCCGTGAGCCATGGCCGCTGAGCCTGTACGTCTGGAACCTGTGCTCCGCACAGAAGAAACCACAACAGTGAGAGGCCTGCGTACCGCATAAAAAATAATATAAAATAAAATAAAAGCGTACTGCAAAAAGAAAAGATGAAAACAAGGAGGAAGGACAGCAGAGACCTGAAAAGAGAGGGGGAACTTGCAAGCAGCTGGGAGTGGGGGGACGAGGAGGCAATGGGCCTCTTTCATGTCTCAACATGCAGACCCGAGCTGGTCTGAACCTCAGTGTCCCCTCTGACACCAGAAGGTTAAGGGGAGAGTCAGTAGGCCTAATCCTCAGGGGCCAGAGGCAGAGGTAGGGGACGGACCGAATCATCAGGCGAAGCTAAAAGACCACCTGAGGACTGACGCCCAGAGAGATGGGAAAAGGAAGCGAACACGCCGAGAGCCTGGCGGTGTCGTGAGTCCGGGCCCTGCACATATGCAATGTTAGGAGTCGCTTGGGGCCCAGAACCTGCTTCTCCTTCCTCCCCGCCCACCCCTTCCTCCTGCAGCGGAAGCCCTGGCCAGGCTGATTTGACACCAGAATAGCAGAGGTACCTCCAGAGCAGAGGGTGTGGACTGAGAGAGGAGGTGAAGGACAAACACACAATGCAGATACCAAAGGCAGAAGCTGCAATCTGCGGCCCACTGACTGTTTGATTCATTTTTAAAGAACAGTATGGCAACACCGGGCCCCTCTTGGTCAGACTCCCACCGCCCACCACAGTTCTGCTAGCCACCCGCCTGGCTCCTGTGAGCAGTGTAGTTTCTGACCCTTCACGTAAAAGAAGGCAGACTAGGACCCCTGCCCTCCAGAACTTGTGAGGGAGGGGGTTGGTGCCAGGTGGGGAGGCAAAGGGACAGCCCTCAGGAACGTCACTTTCTGGCAGTAAGGTGGGGAGTGAAAGACAGGAGATGCAGAAGCTCCCAGCTACAGCGGAGTCCTGTTCTGGATGCACAAAATAGACTGTTTTGTTCTGTTTCGTAAAGAACTGTCTCTGGTAGGGGTGAGACGCCCTACCATGGACCACGGGGAGCCCAGGCCCCTGAGCATGGGGCACTTAGGGTCTGATGGGAGAACCAGGGCACACACAGATACTTCCCAGAGGGCCAGAGGACTGACAGCCAAACGTTTTTGCACATCCAGGGGGGCAGTAAGGGGAGTGCTTGCAGTCAGGCGGCATTCATTTGGTGTGGCTCCCCTGAGGATCGGATCTCCTAGGGAAGGGGCAGCACAGAGGTGGGCAGAGAAGAGGATGGAGCGTCCCCAGCTCCTTCACGACGGAGGGAGGGGCGACGAGGCAGCCGAGGACTTCAGCCAGGGTGAGGAGTAAGGAGGGGGGACCAAACGTTCCTGGCAAGTATGGGGGCGGGGTGGGTTTCAAGCCCAAGCTGGACTCTCTGGATTTGCCCCGATGACAGCCGTGGGCCAAAAGGTCCCTGCGGATTTCCGGAGCCGGGGTCCAATCTACCCTTGGCTAGGTCCACGAGTCCCTGAATTCCTAGTCATTGACCTCCCCCTTAGGACTTATTTCTTTGCTCAGGACCAGAGGATTTTTCACACCCCGTGACCTCCAGATGGATGGGGGCCCCACCCATTCTCTTTTTAAAAAAATTTTATTTAATTTTAATTTTAATTTTTGGCTGCGTTGAGTCTTCGTTGCTGCACGCGGGCTTTTCTCTAGTTGCGGAGAGCGGGGGCTACTCTTCGTTGCTGTGCGCAGGCTTCTCATTGCGGTAGCTTCTCTTGTTGCACAGCACGGGCTCTAGGTGCGCGGGCTTCAGTAGTTGTGGCACGCGGGCTCAGTAGTTGTGGCTCATGGGCTCTAGAGCACAGGCTCAGTAGTTGTGGCGCACAGGCTTAGTTGCTCCGTGGCATGTGGGATCTTCCCGGACCAGGGCTCGAACCCATGTCCCCTGCATTGGCAGACGGATTCTTAACCACTGCACCACCAGGGAAGTCCCCCTGACCAGGGAAGCCACTGTCTCCCCACTAATCTCAACTCTGGTCCTTGAAATAAATATCAGCTCTCCCACACTCCTGGTGTCTCCTCCTTTCTTACATCTCCACTGTTGTTCCAGGAGGGGTTAGGAAGGGGAGACTTCAGCCCTACAGCTTTGGGAGATGGGCTGGAGGTGGCGTGACAGGTGCAAAGGTGGGCATGTCAGGGGCAGGTTCTGGTCCTGAGGTTTTGCCACAGCTGTGTTCTGCCTGAGGCCGGGGGGTAAATGGGGCTAGAGAAGAATGGTGTCGTGTGCTGTGTATGTGGCGGAGGGGTGGTCAGTGGCTCCAGAGACCTAGCTTCTCTCTCCTTGTTTCCAGAAACAGTTTTCTGGTGTCCCTAAAGACACCCAGCTCCCCCTGGACCTTAGTCACAGTGAATCCTGTAGGCTGAGGAATGGTGGTCGCAGGAGCAGAGGGGCTTAGGTGAGCAGGGATCAGACTCCCTGCTCACCTGTTCCCCACTTTCATCCACAGAACCAAATCCCAGACCTCAGGACTCGCATCTTCCTCTACTTCTGTCGACTCTGGGAGGTAGGAGAATTCTCCGTCTTTGAAGAACTGAGGATCCTGGTCATCCTGTCCCTTTCCCCTCCCTCCCTCAAGGCAGCTACCCCTCCCTCCAGCCTACTTGTCACAAAATTCCCCCTCTTCTCACTTTTGAGATAGGTAATCTCACCCAAGTCTTATCACCAATGCCACCAGAAATGCTGACACCCTCAGTCTCCGGTAGGCTTATCTTTATCTAACCCCAAACTACACCCAGCGCCAAACTTTCCCAACCAGCTGCCCCCCTCCACCCTTGGAATTCTCTTTCCTCATGGCCCACTCATCTCTCCTTCTCCCTCCAGAAGTTCAAACAAAGCACTCCTTTCTTGAACTGGAAAGCAATTACTGAGGTAAGGGCAGTGGGACCCCTCATTTCAGGGTCGGGAAGCTCAGCTCTGAAGACGTGGGGTTCTGGGCCCTGGGCAGTGGCTTGCAGGTTCTGTTCCGGTTCCTCCCCATCCCTGCTGAGGGGGGGTGCCTTGCTCCCTTCCCACTTTCCTCCCTTCCCACTTTCCTCCCTCTGCGCAACGCCTCACCAGTGGAGGTGGGATGGGAGAGGGAAGCTGTGAGTCACTGAAGAAGGAGCAGAGTGGGAGGTCCTCCCTGGGATAAAAGCCGAGGTCCAGGGTTAGGGCCTCCACAGGCACAAGATCATGAAGCCAGCCACTGTCTCCGCCTGCTGCTGTTCCGGCTGGGCGTGGCCTGGCTTGGGGGAAGCCACAGCTGCCGTGAGCAGGTGGAGGGGACCATGGGGTGGGGAAGAGGGAGGGACCTGGGACTGGGGCCAACTCTCAGAGCTGGAAAGGGGTCACTAAGGAGGAAAGTTGAAGGGCGGCGGGAGGGCAGTGTGCATGGGGGGAGGACGGAGGGTCATGGTCGAGTGCAGGCAGCTGCAGGGGGTCTGATTATCTGGGTTCTGGGAAGGATGGGCAGGGCCTCTGGGTCCTGTCAAAGGCCACACGTCCATTCCGCATGGCCAGTGGCCTTCGGGAATCAGGACGCTTGGGCACTGAGGCAAGGGCTGCCCACTCACTTGTCCATGTGGGCACGTGAGGCTGGACAGATGGGGCCACATTGTCTGATTTTTCAAGAAAAGCTAGAAATCTGGTTTTCAACTAATTTAATTTAAACATGTGGACCAAGCAAAAAATGTCTGGAGGCCTACGGTCTACCAGTTTGTGCCCACGGTGTAAGGCCTAATAGTGGGGTTAGAATTCAGGTATGGGTAAGGCAGAGAGTTAAGCCAGACTTGGGAAGAACATTCTGACCCTGAGAGAGAGAGAGAGTGAGTGTGTGTGTGTGTGTGTGTGTGTGTGTGTGTTTCTAGTAGAGAAGTGACAATGGCAGGAACTAAACTTCCCTCCTACTGAGGAGATTCTCCTCTTGCCTCGATTGGGGCAGGGGAGGTGGCCAGCACACCTGCAGTGCTTCTTAAGAGGACTCCATCTCCTTTCTTGTATTTCTCCCCTTCCTTTCTCTCCTTTGACCCAGAGCTAACCTAATGTACTCCACTTCGCCTCTATGAATAACAGACCATCCTTCCAAGGACCGTATAGAGAACAGCATTTGGGAACAGGGATTAAAAGGCCTGTGAGGGGAGCGGGGTTTGCTGCAGGCAGAAGGCGGGCTGGGGCTGAGGTGCCCAGCTCTGCCCCGGGAGCTTGTGCGGGTACCGCTCATTTGTTATTCTAGCTCCGGCTCCGGGTGCCTGGGTGGCGGAGGTGTTGCCAACCCGTTCTCTACCCTGGCTGCCCAATGCTGAGTGTAGAGATCTGTCCTGTGTCTATCTGGGCCATCAGTTTCCTCCAGGCCTTCTCTGTAGGCAGCGCTTATCACAGACCACTGAGAGGGGTGGGGTGGGCTGGGCGGGATGCTGGGGCTCTAAGGGGAGGGCAGAGCCTGGGTGGTGGGATGCTGGAGCCTCGAGAGTCCAGCAAGGCCTGAAGCACCACGGAGCCACCCTCACCGCAGCGCCTTCTCCCTTTGCATCCGTGTGTCATCAGACCAGAGGAGGGTAGGCGCTGCTGGTCAGGTGAGCCCCTCCCTCAGGAGGCCCTAGAAGGTCCCTGGTTCCTCTCAGCCTTGCTCCCGGGTCTGGCCAATCTGCAGTTCTCTCTCCCCATGCCCCCCGTTCTGTAATTTTCTCAGCCTGGCACAGGATGCCAGGATGCGGCAGCTGTAGCTTCTAAGGTAACTGCCACCCGACCACCTGATTCAGACTTCACTTCTTTCCTTGGTCTCCTCGCCTCACCTCCCCAGGGACACTTGAGGAGCTGGGAGAGGTGGAGAGGGACGAGAGAGGCAGGGCCATCTGGGCTGGGACCACAAAGCGAGGTGAGGGCGTGGACTCTGGCTCGAGGAGATTCTGTAGAAGAAAACACATGACACAAGGAGGGGAGGAGGCAGGGGCTTCGAGAAAGGTCCAGCCAGGGCCGGGATGTGGGAGCAAAATGCCTTCATCCCTTCTCTCCCGCCCCCTGCTTCCTTCCGCAGAACTACGATTATAACCAGCAGAAATACCCTACTGCCAGTGGGGGGCAGCACTCAGCCCAGATCCCCACTAAGGTAAGGCTTGCAACCTTCCTGACTCCCACTGCACGGGGTCTGCCTGGGGGTGACAGGGGAGGCCTTCACTGCCAAGGTCCTCTGGGTAGGCTAGCTGAGGCCGAATCCTGTTCGCTTTGATAGTCATGTCTCCCCACCCCTGTGCAGGGGGACTCCAGCTCCCTGAGAGCAGTTTGGAAGAGAAGGGTAGAAGGGTCACACCCACTCACTCAGAAAAGGTTCTAGGGGAGCCGTGGGTGCATCGCCTGCCATGGAGAAAACTGGGACCCAAATCCTCTCAGTGAGGAATATAAGGCTCAAAAAAAAAAAAAAAAAAAATCACACGACACACGGCAAAACAGACAGACAGGTTTCCTTGGTCTGCTGACCTTTCTTGGGGAGAGGAGGCCAGCCCAGAAACTCTTGGTTGGTGGGAAAATAAATGCTTCCTTTCACAAAGGAGATAACAGGAAAAACAATGTGACGATTTTGTTTTATACGGGTGCAAAGAAAACGATCTGATAAATTCAGTAAATGAATGTGCTACATACTAATTAGGCTGGTTAGAAACGAACAAACAAACAGGCAGTATTATCCCTCCATCTCTCAGAGTAATAAAGGGAGAGAAGTCCTCTCCCCTCCCCTCTCCTTGGGGAGAGGACTTCTACTGAGAGATGAGAAACTAGCTGCTGACTGAAAGGAGGTGAAGGTGTAGTTAACACTACCTGTGGGTATCCACTTCTGCCCATTGCTCGTGGCCAATTTCTATCCCCCTAGCAGGCAGAGGGAGACCTACCTTTCCTCTTTTCACCCCCCTTGGTCACTGTGTGCTCAGGGACCATATTCAATATCATCTTGGGTAAAATGCACTCAGGGTGAGATATCTGCTGTGGCTGAAGGGCCACAATCAGACCAAAGGACCTTTGGGGTGATCCTGACCTGAGCCTGTCCCCACCATGGGCCCCTCCTGAGCCCTAAGGACATGGTCGAGAACAGAGAGGGCACGGAGGTCCTCACCTCACCTCCTCTGATCTTCTCTTTACAGTGCGGAGTCACGGTTTCTTCCTCGGTAAGTACTGGGGCAGAGAAAATCCGGCTGGCGAGAGAAGGGGTCTGAGGCCAGAGGGTGTGCCGGGGACGGCGCTCTGTCCACTCAGACATTCTCCTCGTCCTGCAGGCTTCCCGGGCGCGACCTGACCTGCTGCAGTGGGTGAAGTTTTGGTAGGTGAGTGTCAGTGAGCTGTGCAAGGCTGCAGCCAGGAGCTGAGGCCCGCCGCCCCGGGGGTGGGCGGGGGGAGGGAGGGCTGGGGGCTTGGCCCTCCCTTTGCTCTGGGTGGACACACTAAAGGTATTAAGGAGGAGACCCCAGCGTGGGGTGTGGAGAAAAACTCATGAGAAGATGACCTAGAACACTCGGAACACCCTCTGAGTGCTGGGTGGTGGCCTGACAGAGGCAGGGCCAGAGAACAGCAAGGCAGGCTCAGTTAAGCAGTGGGAACAGGACAGGCATTGTAGGGCGGGGGCGGGGGGGACTGTAGTGAGGTGAACCTTTCGGGTTTAAAGGCTCAGAGGCAGAAAGACGCGAGTCGCCGGTGGGGAAGAGGTAATATTTGTTTTAGGGAGGAGTGAAAGCGAGGGGACCGCAGGTGACATAGGCAGGACACGAGGGAACTGTGGGCGCAGAAGCTGGGTGAGAGGATGCCTGGTTTCAGCAGCTCTAGGAGTGGCCGTGTTCTACCATTTTCTCTTTTCTTGTCTTCAAGAAAATCACTTCCAACTGCGACTGAAGCCCTGAGAACCGTCAGTCATCAAGGGACCTGACTGTGCCCCTCCCCCAGCTCTTGGTATGGGTGCTAACACCTGCTTTTTCTAGGTTGGGTACCTATCTGTCTATCCCTTGTTTCCTCCCACCCACTGTGGTGTCTCCTTGACCGTCAGCCTCAGTGGATACACCAGCCATTGCTTCACCTGCTCCATTTTGTGACCTGAAGTTACCGTGACAGAAATTCAGGAGGCGCGTCCTACTTTAGAGTTTCTCTGTGGAAATAAAACATGAGTCTTGTTTCCCTAAGACTTTGGCAAATTTTTTTTTTTTTTTTTTTTTTTTTTTTTTTTTTTTTTGCGGTACGTGGGCCTCTCACTGTTGTGGCCTCTCCCATTGCAGAGCACAGGCTCCGGACACACAGGCTCAGCGGCCATGGCTCACGGGCCCAGCCGCTCCACGGCATGTGGGATCTTCCCGGACCGGGGCACGAACCCGTGTCCCCTGCATCGGCAGGCAGACTCTCAACCACTGCACCACCAGGGAAGCCCAACTTTGGCAAATTTTATTCTTTAATACTACACTGATGGCCTGGATCAGGGAGGAGGGAAGAGGGAGGTTCAGGGGCAGGTAACTCGCCTTCTTCCTGAGAGGGGTATACAGGATGGGCCGAGAGAGAGAAGACTGGGACGTCCTGATGAGAAGTAGCGGATCTCACCGGGCCTGGGTTTCTCCATCTGTGAAAAATCATCTTTGCCCAATTTACATGTGACTAGCAGGCTTACTGCACTTGGAGCAGTCACGGATGTTCCGCTGGCCTGAAAAAGCCACAGGGGAGCTACTGAAATCAGGAGGTGGGAGTTAAGGGGCTCTTCCAAGAGAGGAGACCCATCCTGGAGGGTCAGGGCGGGGCAGAAGGAAGAGCGAAGGAGGAGCGCGGGACCGGCAGAGAATACGACGCAGCCTCAGCCTCGTGCACACGCCAAGGTGTGGACAAGGGTGAGTCTGGGTTGACATGTTTAGGAAGCTGGGGGGAGTGGCGAGTCCCCAGTCCCTCATCACGTGCCGTAGAGGCTCTCCAGGAGACAGAGGGGTGGTGAAAAACTTCTACTCCATTCATGCACCAGGGAAACAGCCAGAAGCTGGGGCGCAGGCTGAGCCCGGGCTGATCACCAGCGGAGGAGCCCTGGGCACGGGGCGGGGAGTCTGTGCTTAGAGTCTCTGAGCAAAGTCCCGCCAAGCCCACACAGTGAGCTTAAACTAAGGGGCCCCACCGCTCTCTGACACCTCGGAGGTCCTTGACCGCCTCTGGCGGACCCAGGAAATGAAAGGAGGACGGGAAGCACCCTGCCAGCTTCAGTGACGCCCTCAGAGATTGCAAGTTCCCCGAGGGCACGACCGCTGTCTGCCTCGATCACTGTTGCGTTCCCAGGGCTTAGCACAGGGGCTGGCACAGGGTGGGCCTCAAACGGTTGATGAATAAATGAAAGGAGTCGGGCCCCAAAAGGACTTGGGGGAACCAATTTGATGTGCATCCTCTTCTCACTTCTGTCCTTAAACTGCGGCTCCTGCCTTCTGTTCACCTTGGGTTTCACCTGGGAAGGGAGGGCCTTGCACTACCTCCTCGCAGCCACAGGGAAGAGAGCGCGGTCCATCCTGGGGCCTGAGGCTCAGTCCTTCCCGCTGACTGACAGCGGGCTTCCTGGGGTGTGGGGTGAGGGCTACAGACTGCTGGACCTCGGGTCTCCACGTGCCGGTCCCTGAGGGACTGAGGGAGAAGCTGAAGGGGTCAACATTGTTTCTGGACTTGGGGCGTGCCTGGTCCAAAAGGCTGAAAGCCACCCTCTGAAGTTTAAAGCACAGGCTAAGGCCCTCAGGTGTGAAGGAGTCTCTTAAAACGGCAGCCTCCCCTTTGCCCTGCCGGAGCCTCTGAAGCAGCTTCGTGGCAGAGCCTCCGACGTTCGATTTTCCCCTAACGTCCATTGTCCCACGGCAGCCAGGGAGTTTCCCCTGCTCGGAATCCCCCACGAGCTCCATTAGTTGTAGAGTAACATCCCCTCGGCGTGGCTCCGCACCGTTCACCTCTGCTTCCAATGTCAACCTGGACCTGCTGGGAAAGGCTCCCGAGGAACACCGCTGCTACCAGTCCCTGGAACCCGAGATCTTCAGAAGGTTGAAACTTTAACGACTTTTGGTCTAAATTCAAAACCCCAAGCCAGCTGAACCGAGGACACCTACCCAATCGCTCTCACGTCACCTTGTTTTATTTTCTTCACAGACCTTGTCATGTTCTCGAAATGATCTTGTTTCCTAATTTTTTGTGAGGTTATAATCTGTCTCTCTTTAACTGGAACACAAGCTTCACAGGACAGGTACCCTGTCCATCTCGTATCCTCGGCACCAGGAGTCAAAATGGCTGCATAATAAATATCTGGGTTAGAGGATGGAAGGAGAGATCAGAATTAAGGGGGCTCAATCCAGGAGGTCTTCCTGGGAGAAGTTTAAGCAAAGCGTGCACAGGGCAGAGGGTGGGCGGTGAAGGAAGAAACCAGACCTGCTGGGCAACGTGATTGCTTTCTTGGGTGTGACCCTAACCCTGGCAGAGGGAGGACAGGACGGGACAGGGATGCCCTGGGCTCTGCCCCCCAGTAGCCCACACCCCAGCCCCCTTTCTCTCCAATGATTCTAGGCTTTTCACCTAGATATTCGCCAAGACCCTGAGGCCCCAGTGCACATCCCTTCAAATCCCCCGTTCCCTCCCTGAACCCAGGAGGCTGGCTCCCAGCCCCTAGGTGTGTCTGTAATGTAGCAACAAGGCTGGGCCTGGCCTCCTACCCACACTCAAGTTCTGGCAGATTTGGGGTGGGGTGGGCGAAGGCCTGTGGGAAAACAGGGGTTTATTGGTATTCTTGGAGTGGGAACTAGATCAAGCAGACTTGGAGCTGGGGTGACGCAGAGCCAGGCTCTGTGCCTCTGTCCGACTCCACTAACACTCTGTGATGCAGCCGACGCTGAATCCCAGGTAGATTCTCCTGCCACCCGTTACTCCAACCGCTGGGACCCTCTGCCAGTGAGGATCCCCCTACCCTCTCTCCCCCAGCCTGCCCCACCGTTGGACACTGCACACTCGGGGAACACAAACTCACTGAGGCAGTTTAGGTGGGGGAAGGGGAGGGAACTGGGAGAGAGACACCAGTCTCTAGATTAGCATTTACAGCAGAAATCATGTAAGGCCAAAATTACCCTTGAAAATGCCAAATGGAGATCGATCATAAGTCTAGCCCAGCCAGTTCTTTTCCTCCAGAAAAAGAACAGCATTCCTTTGGTTGTGCACATGAAGGAGTAGGCTTGTAGTTAGTGGCATTATATAAAAGAACCCATCTTTAAACACTAGAACTTCACACACTAGAGCTAGAAGACTGTCTTTTAAACACACACTTGCTGTGACAAGATGCTCATACTATAAGAGGCATCTGGAATCTGAGGCAATCACAGGTTCACCCTGAGATGTAGGCTCATTGAGTACCATCCGTCTCTCAGTTCTCGGTTTTCATTTGGCAAGAGCATAGCTTAACCCACCGAAACTAATGCATGTCTGCTCAGAGATGCCACCTGTGGCTGTGCAGGCTGCACACCACAAAAGGACACCTGGTCGAGAGGACAAAAGGGGGCTACCTGCAGCCTTGCCCCCCGACTCTCAGGGCATGGGTCTCATTCATACAGGGCGCCAGGTGGGCTGGCCGAGGCCCTTGGTAGGACACAGTACAGCAAAGGGGCAATACAGGTGCAGCCTCTGGAACTCTGGGGTTCTAACAGTGGCCTTGCCACACCCTGGCTGTGTGACCTAGGGTGAGTTATTTAACCTCTATGTGCTGTGGTTCCCCTGCCTACAGAATGTGGATAACCGTTAGTACCTGTCTCACAGAAGCACTGTGATATTTCAGTGAGATCACGCATTTAGAATACCTAGCACAAGGCCTGCCCCAGAGAACGACATCAGTAAATTGGCTAACATTATTATTAGCCGCATTAGCATGAGGAGGAACAAGGGAAACAGGGAAATGAATTTGTTGGAAAAGAAAGTTGAAGCCCAGCGGATGACGGCGTTGGGCTCCTCTGTTGCTCTGGAGTTACACGGGCTGCAGTGCTCCTCCACTAGCAGGTCTGATTGGACTTCATCACTGAATATCAGCTCTCCTTTGTTGATCCTTCATTCTGCTCATTCTTCATTCAACTTCGTTCACAGTTGACGCTATGCCGACAGAACGGCGGTGAATGAGCTCTTTCAGTCCCTGTTAATGAATTGGTGAGAATTCATTACACATAAAAACTTGTGTCCTCCAGAAAAACCTTTTGGGGAGGCGCTCCACCCATCTGTCATTTTCTCACTCGTCCCCTCTAGGAACACCAGCCTTGTGTGACGTCTGCGTGGCACGGTCATCTGTGCCTAGCAAGTTTTCCTCAAGCCCCGTCTCCTCAGGTAGCTCTGCGAAAGGGGACGTGCCGTTAGAAAAACGGAGGAGGCTTCCTGGGGCTGAAGAGGGGCGGGATGCCGGGGACTGGGCAGTGGGGGCAGGAGGAGAATCGAACTGAAGTACCAGGTTCTGGGGCTCATGAAGACTGTTGGCGGATAAGCCCAGCCCGCTACGCCTCCAGGCCTGTTATCTCTGTGTATTGCATCAGGACGGGGTAAAGAGCCCACGCTGAAATGAGGTGTTGCTTTGTCCTGGCAGCACCCGTCTGTGTTCCAGCACCTCCCTTTTACACCAGGAGCCGGTTGGGCCACCTGAGCCTCAGTTGTGGAGAACGCTACTCGATTAGGATGTTCTGTCACTTTGAGGTGATACAACTGCCAAGCTGGGGGAGTCGGGTGGGGAGCAGAATAAGCTCAACGAAATGGTGTGGGTGCTCAAAGTTCAGGACCTAGAGCCCAGCTGGGTAGCTCTAAGACCTGTTTTTGCTCTTTTGTGTTTCTCTATTCTTTCTTTCTTTTTTTCTTTTTTTTAATTTTTGGCTGCGTTGGGTCTTCATTGCTGCACAGGCTTTCTCTAGTTGCGGCACATGGGCTCAGCAGTTGTGGTTTGGGGGCTCTAGAGCTCAGGCTCAGTAGTTGCGATGCACGGGCTTAGTTGCTCTGCGGCACGTGGGATCTTCCCTGACCAGGGATCGAACCCGTGTCCCTTGCGTTGGCAGGCGGATTCTTAACCACTGCACCACCAGGGAAGTCCCTGTGTTTCTCTATTCCTTGTCTTCTTAGCTCAAGACAGTTACCTCTCTGAAGACCCAAGAGTGTAAGATGGGCAGCTGGATAATGGGTCCGGCCCCAAAGGAAGAAAGCACAACTTGGTGGAAGGATGCTTGAATTCTAAGATATCCAACCTAGCGTACGCTGAATCCACCTCCACTGTGTAAGGGCATGGTGCTAGGGCATGGTGATGTATAGGTGATTAAGACATAGTTCCTGACCTCAAGAACTTGATATTCTAAGAGGGAAGAACACAAGTTACTCTAGGTACAATGCCAGAGAGATACAAATGAATTGCTATGGCAATTACGAGAAGGGAAAAGTTTGGGAAGGGGGATGACAGATGATGGGAGACATCTGGGAAGCTTAATCCAGGATGGATGTTGGGTTCTGAGAACAAGAGATGAGAGAAGGGCATTTTAGGCACAAGGGGTAGCATGGGCAGCTGCTTGGAGGAGAAAAAAGAAGGATATCTTTGGTAAGGAGTCCAGTTTGGCCAGAATGTGAAGTATGTGCAAAAGGGAATGAAAGAAGGAAAACTTAGAAGGGTGGATTGAGGTCAGAATATGGAAGGCCTTCAATGCCAGTATAGGGAGTTTAGACAGAATTGGATAGGGTGGGAAAAAGCCGGAATTATAAGAGAGGAACGAAGAGATATAAGGCAAAGTGACAAAGACAAAAGGAGAGGTTGCTTGGGTGCCATGGCCAGTCTCTGGGAGGGACAGGTCCAACCTGTCTCCATCTCAGCTCCATTGGCATGAAGAACCCCATTGCCAGCCTACCTTCCAAGTGCCCAGGGCAGAATGTGAATTGAGAAATCCAAGGCAAGTGGGAAACAGTCCACACCTCCCCTTCCCAGAGCCCCAGGGGTGGGCGACAGGATCTGGGGGTGAGTCAGTAGGGTGGGGACCCCAGTTCTGTTCAGATCTGCCTCCCTGGGAATATAAAGGGCAAGCCTTGCCTTGCCTCAGAACATCCCAAACTTGACACCATGAAGATCCCAGTTCTTGCTGCTGTGGTTCTCCTCTCTCTCCTGGCGCTCCACTCTGCTCAGGGGGCTACCCTGGGCAGTTCTGAGGTGAGCACGTCACCTGGGTTCTCTTTCTCTTATACCTGTTAGCTGACTCAATCGGTCACTGGATAAGTGGCTCTTATCTTTGGCTATTACTGGGGGCTGAATGAGAAGCTGGGGCTCTGAGGAAGGGAAGAAAGGAGGAAGGAGACAAAGCTTTCCTGGGAAGGGGCAGAGGCTTATATTTCTGGAAAGGGTGGTAAAGTGTGGGGTAGAGGCTGGACATCCTGAGAGGAGACAGGGGCTGAAGTTGGTCGTCTGGGTTCAGCCCCACATCTGTTTTGTTTGTATCCCTGGGAATGGCTCTCAGGTGGCTAGAAGCACCCTGCTACCTCTGGAGCTTAGGCCATACCAAGAATCCTTAGGAGTCAGTCTCCAGCCAGGAAAAATCCTGAGGTCCCTCTCTCCCCACCTTATTGCACTGTGAGGGGGATGGGGGAATGCGCATGTCGGATTTGCAAGTCTACGATAGGGGTCACAGACTCCACTGCTTAGGATCCCAGCAAGTGATGTCGGTGTGCAGGAGGGCTGGTGGGGCCTCAGGGGAGGTGGAATGAATTTGCCCAACCTGGAAGGGGACAGTCTCTATGCCATCTGACTGTTGCTAAGTGGGAAAATGTGCCCAGTGTGGCCGGAGTTTAAAAATTTTCAAGAGAAACTGGAAATCGGATTTCTGAATTCTTACTAATTAAAAACCTTTAATTCAAATTAAAAAAAAAACAAGCCAAATTGTGATGAGATCTAAACATTTGGGTCTAGGCTGTAGGCTACCTGTTTGTGACCTCTGTTGTGGGAAGGAAGAAATGAGGGGCAACGAGGCTGGGCAGCTAAGGTCGGGATGGCAACAGATGGGAGGCACTGAAGTACGGGGGTGGGAGGTGGGCTTCCAGCTGGAGCAGGGAGACGGAGACTCAGACTTTGGTGGCAATTCAAGTCACTAAGCAAACCGACCTCCAGAAGTAAAGGCAGACAGGGCACCTCAGAAACTTGGCCGCCACCTGCCTTCCAATCTCCCGTGCCCAGCTCCGTGGGCTGAGCGTGGGTGTCTCGGGAACACCCCGAGTCCACGGCAGAACCGCACTAGCTCGTTTTTCTTGGGAGGAATCCTCTTTCTCCGCCCTCTCCTCCTGCTGCCGACGGTGGATGCGGGCCTGGGCTCCGACTTCTCTGTCTCCCCCGTGCCACTCTCCCATCCCTTCTCGACATGTGCACATCTGTCAATCATCCGCCACACTGGGACAGAGTGGGTTAACGGAGGCCCCGTGGTGGAGAATGGGACTGGCCTGTGGAGGGAAGCAGAGCTGGCAGAGGGGGTTTGGGGAAGGGGATTTGCCATCGTGTGATCGATCATTTGTCTCCTTTCTCCCCTTCGCTTTCCAGGAAGGAATCATTGGTAATAAAGCGGCAGGAATCAAGGAGGTAAACCACCTGTTTCCCACCATCTGACTACGAGTTCGTCCCCCATCAGTTCATGTTCCTAAATAACTTTCTGAACACCCTGCTGCTTTGCCTAGACCGCTTATGCCCAGTTTCCGAACACTGAAAAGTCGCGACCTGTAAGTTTAATTCTTTAATTCGGCCCCCATATATATCCAAATCCTAAAGGAGATCGAGGCCTGAGTAGAGAGCTTGCAGAGCTGTCATGGTCTTTCACCTTTCCCAGAGGGCTAGGGGCTAAGCTCTGTCCTTCCCTGGAACTGATTCTCTTCTGGTCTCTTTCTCTCTCTGCAAAGGTTCTTACGGGTAATGAATTCCTGAACTGGAAGGCCCTCTTCGAGGTAAGCAATTGGGCGCCCTTTTTCTCCTGACGGTTGGTCCGGGTAGTGGCAACGCATTCTAGTCTAGCCCTTTTGGTTCTTTCCTGGGAGGGAGTAACTGTCCCCCTTAGATGCTGCCCAACTGAAGAAAACTTCCCGGGGAGGCTGTCGTGGCCAGACCTTATTTTCCTAACGTGGCCCACAAAGACAATCTCTGAAAAGGAAAAACTTAATCAGTCAAGAGTTTATTCGAATTCCCTCATCCTCCAGGAAGACACTGAGGCTCTAAGTTGGGTGACTTACCCAAGCTTAGAAGGCTAAGTCAGTGGTAGCGCTGGAATTAGAGCCTGTAGTCCGTGACCCGCACATACTCGCTACATGCCCTCTTGCAAATGTCTTAACTTCTCT